ACGCCGTCGCTGGATAGCCTTCCCAGCCACACTTTCAATGTCCCGGGTTTGTGTTCCCTGGAAGACGGGGTCTGGCACCTTGTACAACATCAGCACGTAACTATGAAAGTCTGTCAGCGGCATTCCACGTAGGGCAGGAGAGAGCGTGAAATATATCGCCAACTGCACTCCATGAATACCGACACTGTTGGTTCTATGTTGGTGCGCGACATCCTCGATAACTTACTCGTGACACCAAGAGTCACCATTTGCGTCTTGTTCGCAAATAACTTGGCTCGAACCAGGCGCGACTGAGCGCGAGAGCCGGTGTGAATGCCACCCCGATTCAAATCCCCCACGCCCCCGACCCCGTGCCCTCCGAAGTTGAAGCAATTCCGTAAGCTACACGGATACGTAAAACTGCTGCAAGGCTAGGCCGCAAGCCTGACAAGGAGAGAAAAGATATAGAGCACAGCACGGAAGACTTTAAGCGATGGTCGCCACTTCTGCAACTCCTTTCTGGAGTGATGGTGATTCATGATCGTGTGTATGCGCTGCAGATCCTGAATTGTCATGAACCGTGCTCTTACCATGCTCCCTCCGTGTCCTGCTCCTTGTCGCTACCTGTACGAATGCTTTTCGGTGTTCCCCTGACGAGACGGCTCGTATGTTGGATCCTCCAATGAAGTGGACTGGGTCCTTCATAAGTCCCCTCTTCAGGCGTCGGAGTTCTCCATTTTCGCTTTCTGAAGGGTTTGTTGGGCAATGTCCAGGGCGGAGGTGTGGACTCGCCTAACTTGAACTCGCGGGCTAGGTATAAGTCCATAAGACCCCAACGCTTGACCGAGGTCTTCCCCGTTGGTGATCTGCAGTAGTCTGTCAGCACCCGCATGGACCTTGTCGCGCCGTGCCGGTATGGGATCAGAGAGTGGATGGATAGAGGTATGACATGGCTTCAAGGTCGGACTGAATACTCGTTGAAGTTGATCTAGTTGCATGATTGCTTTGGAGTCTCCGTTCGCAGTGCCCTCCTCGCACGACCAAGCAGGTCTGTCTGAGGGTGGTAGTGATGGTGACGCTGTCAGGGAAAGCCTCTGGTAGTGGAGGACATTCAGCCTGAGTTGGGAACACCTCTGGTAATGGAGGCCATTCAGCCTGAGTAGAGAGAGGATGAAATTGTTCTCGACGGTAAGTGCTCGATGGTCAATACTGCCAATATTGTCGCTGTAACGTATATCCCTGCGTAACGGAAATCCCTGCCTGCCGCAAAAACCACACCGGGACAGTAAATATTCTTCACCACCGCGATCATTTGCTAAACGTAGCACATATCCATGCGCCGAGGTGGTCGCCGTGTCAAAGGAGATGGATGTGTTTGAAGATGTGTTCTGTGCTGTGGGTGGCGGCAGTCATGTCGTGTTGGTTATGCGTCTCTTATTGACTCCGCCTCTTCGTCGCGCCCTGCGACAGGCTTGGCAACGGCCGGTTTAATTAGTCGCAAAGTCAATTGAGGGAATGTCAAGAATAAAAATATCGAGAGCTTCGACTTTGAGAACCACAAAGTTACGTCAAGCCCTTCGAGTCTAGAGCGCAGCAATCACGCGTGAAAGTCGCCCCGCCGCACGTAAATGGCCCCATCGCATCTCGATCTCCGCGTCCTCACGGCGCCAGAGCTGTGGAACGATGCCGTCCTCGTCTCAACCTGCCTGCTGATCAACGAATCCTACAAAGGGCGCGAATCAGAGGGTCTCCTGGACCGGTATCCCAGCGCGGAAGACTTTGCGCGCGACCTCGGCGTAGACGGCCTGTGCGCGGTGATCCAGGACAGCCGGCGCGAGAACCGCCCCGTCGCCGTGGCGGTGGCGAAGCGGTGGAAAGGGCGACGGAAGGATGATGATGACGACGACGACGACGACGCTACTGCCCCTGACGCCGGGACGCGAGATTGGGAGATCGGCCCCGCCGCCTCGCGTAGCTTGCCTGAATATCGCGGCCGCGGGCTCGTCGAGCGGTGCCTGCAGGGTCTATCGGCACGGCTGGTCGCGCAGGTCACGGAGGGGCCGGTTCGGCTGTGGGTCAAGGTGGTGGAGGAACTCTACGCGGCGTACTGGGCGCGCAAGGGCTTTGTGCAGTGCGGAGCGAGCTACGTGATCCCCGTGGGAGAGTGGCATCACAATCGAGCCTACACGTTGGTGGATATGGTGAAGGAGATATCGAGGAGCGCAGATGGTGCAGGTAACGCTGGCTCGCGCCTAGATAGGACTGGGAGTGGCATCGTAGAGCCCGGCGCTTCAGAACTGGCGAAATGAAGCGCAAAGGGGAAGACGGACGCCAATTTCCGCGCTCTGGACTCCGATGGGACGCTGGCCCGCCACTTTTTCAATCTGTCTTGCCAACTTCGCGACGGAATTCGGCGGCCTTTTTGGGGAGTGGCAAATCTGAGCTGGGTTCCAACAGCTGAGTAGCAGAGAAAGCTTATTGGTAGGTCAGTCTGTCGGTGACTTTCACCATCCAAAACGAAAGGGCATTCAGGCGACCGCCACCGTTATGGCTTTGCCAATAATTCATTGATCCGAATGATTGTGGCAGGGAGCCGCAGAAACAGCTATATTTGAAAGACCTCAAACCATATTCAGTGTCTAGGCAGGTGCCAGGCTTTTGGCATGGACGGTGCCGGCCAGGATCAAAAACTCGCCAGTAAAGACAGAAATTGTCGCATAGCCACACATCGCGTGCAACCCGAATGCTATCGGCGATCAAGGCGGCGAGAGCGCGCGAAGCAAAATCGGCGTCGTCAAGACGGCTGTGTCTGGCTATTGGAGTGTTGTATTGAAGTCGACCAGCAGGCAAGCGGCGTCGAGGCACGGCTGCGCACGAATATCGTGGCGCAAAGACGTGGCGCCGCATTTGGCGTCTCAGACGCACGCCACACGTCAAGGTATCTAATCGTCGTCAGCGGGGTTTCCCGGCCGCCCACCAGACGAGGCCGAGTGTGGAAGCCTGTCTACGGAGTACCTTACCCCCCCGCCCCCCGGATACTTTACTGTGGGCAGTCAAAGAGGAAAGTGAGCTGACGCCGGACTTGGCAGTCACACGGTCGCTTCCAGTCTCTGCTTCACGTTCACCAATGAACGACAGCAGCGCGCCCTTACTTGCGTGCTCACTCTGATAGAGGAATGAGCTTTACGTTCAGCACGGGAACTTGATCGAAAACTCTGCGGATACTGGTACGAGGGGGCAAGGTCTCAATCGCAACCATATCTCGATCACTGACCCGATCTCCGGAGCCAAATCTTTGAAGCCTAATCTCTAAGCTTCTGGGTCCCATCTCCGGACCCTTATCTAACTCTGATCTCCAGATCTCCGGTACACTCCGGAACCAGATCCGAAAACTGATCCGCATCATGATCCGACCCGCAAATCTTGATCTTGCAAGAATCCTCCGGGGCACGTGGAGCTTCTCGAATTTGCTGGAGTACACAGTACTGGGCTGTGTGCGGGTACAAGACCATGTTCAAGTGCTGTACTCGTACTGGTTCACGTTCATCCTGGTTCGCGCTAGGCAGATCAATCACCGGTGCCAGTATCTCCATCTCAATGTTCATGTCACTCAGTCATAAACTTGAGCTTTTCCATGCTCATGAACCTCATCCAGGCCATGTTCTCGACCACTAAGATGGCCAAGGCCATTGACCAGACCATGTCGTCGTCCTCGAAACTGGAGGTGCATCAGAATATTTGGCTGTAGCTAGCTGGGCCTGTCCATGTTCTCGAGCCCGTACCTTCTGCCCTCACCACTCTTGCCTAAGCATTTGCGCGCTGTAATTACCGTTGGCACCACTCCACGATGCCTTTTATGTGTAACTCATTGGCCTCGCGCCGGTCCTTGTCCATCTTCAGACCTGTCGACTCGACGATTTCGTACATGCTGACCCCTATGCCCGTACTCAAGCCTAGGTGCATCCTCTTGATGGAGGAGTACGTCTGAGCTATCTGATATTATTCATGCTCCTCGGTGTGATTAGGTTCATGGACTCCTGGACGCTCGTGCTTTTAAACCCGAATCAAGTGGCGCATGAGGAGGAGTGGTATGTGAGGAAAGTGGGTCGTGAGGAGGAGTGATATATGAGGAGGAGTGGTACGTGAGGAGGAGTAGTACGTGAGGAGGAGTGGTACGTGAGGAGGAGTGGTACGTGAGGAGGAGTGGTACGTGAGGAGGAGTGGTATTCAGCGGCGATAATGCACCTCGTCTTGGTACATTAGAGAAGTGGGGAAGAAGACGGGGTATCACGACCCTATAGAATCGGCAATCCGGGGGCCGCAGTTTGGCACGAATAACTCCCATCCATAACAGTAAATAGCCTCTACCTGTTTAGCGATTCTTCAAAATCATGTATGACTGATCTAATATGTGCGAGATTGCTTGCAAAACATAGAATGCTTGCAAAATATAGAATGCTTGCAAAACATAGAATGCTTGCAAAACATAGAATGCTTACAGGTGTAGACTTCGACATAATGTACGCGGTGATTACCTCCGATGTCCTGATCCCGAGAAGTTACTATGGCCGCGAAATATTAAATGAGTTTGTGTTCGAAGTTGACTTTGGTTCCACGCCTGATGATTACTGGAAAGGATTCAGGCACAACGCCAATACGAGTTCAGTGTCCGCATCTCTGTATGTTACCCTCCTCTTAATTGTCGATGACGGTCGGTTTGGAGTGAAACATATGGATGGGTGCTACCAAGGTTAAGAAACTGCTCACGATTCACCAGCTCTCGACGATAGGGTGAAGCCGCCCCACCTCAGCGGCTGCTGCGCAGACCGGCACCTGGTGATCGTTCCTGGCTTTGGCAGGTACATTGCCATCAGGGCCCCAGTCTCTGGCGCTTCGTAGCCTTCACTTTCCCAACTCACTTTGCACGGTTGGCAGGAGTGCTCTTGTTGAGCGCACATGGTAAAGAACTGCTATGCTCGTGTCAAAACAACTCAACCCTATTCCCAATCCTGCAACGACTGCTAGAGCTTTCCTGGTGTATGAACTAAAACCAATGCCTGCGCGACCACGACACCACTTGCGCTTCGCATTCCATTGTATTTTGGAGTCCCGTTCATTCCATAACCATTACAGAAATTCATATTGGGATATGCCACAATGCCTGGGAAAATTGTGAGTCGGACTCGCGTCTCTGGACCAAGTTGACTGTCGTTGTGCTCTTCAGTCATCATCTTCTCAATGTCGAATTTGTCGCCTGGCGCTGGCCAAATAAAAGAATATTTATCGAGCATATTCAGTTTGAGTTGGCAGCATATCGACAGAGCTTTCTCGAATATAGGACGGATCTCCCTTTGCCGGTCACTCCACGATCCTGGTGGTCCTTCACCTCCAGGCATGCAGATATTTCCATTGTCTTGATCATCAGAAAGTAGCACTGACAGAGCATCCGCTAGATCCTTTGCTTTCTCAGCTGCACTAATTAGCAAATGATTACGCTGGAAGTTGTCTTCATCGATAAGTGACTGCAACACATTTTGTCGAACCTCGATCTCCATGAGGGGGCCGTCTGCGCATTACTGTCAGAAGGTGCAGAAAACTGATGAAGCCAGCAAACTTGGAGAAAATCATCCGAACTTACATGTGTCTCGTATGTATGAGTGAGTCCGGCGCAACACGACGTTTTTGTCACTGAAGATCTCGGGGAACTCAGTGTCCAAGGCCCAGCGGAGTGTTGCGACTCCAATTTGACTCCTTAACAGTTCTTCTTGTTTGACTTTGATACCTAGGTCCACGACACTTTCAAACAGAGAAGGCTGGCCCTCCACGCAGAAGACCTGCTTCGTGATAGCGCAAAGCCTGGGGTGTTTTTGGTCGATGACTCGAAATGATGGGTATGTAGCAAACCCAGCACCGGATTTTCTGTAGAAGCGAACGATAGCGGCGATCTTGTTAGAAAGATCTCCCATCTCTTGACGGACCACTTTGTCTGACATTCCCAGGCGTTGTACCTTTGGGCCACGGAGCAACAGTTCTTCGGTCCCACCCGCACTTTCCACGAAATGACTTGCATTTTCAGATTCTTTGCTGTTGAGAAACTCGGCTTTGGAAATTGTGTTATTGCGCTGCCGTGTGGGAAGAGTAGTGACATTCAGAGTACCATGACGGATTTCTCCAACGTCACTTGTGTTGGATGCAAGTGACTCGCTATCCGCTTGCGTATCGTCAATAAGAGCTGACTGATCTAAGCAGGACCTTCCATATTTGAACAGCTTTTCTGTTGTGATATTGTTGCTGGATGCTAGATTGGAGAACTTTTTGGCAATCTGTTGGGCCGTCCAAGGATGCTCGACGTTGAACATTTCAGAGATGTACTTTGCAGCACCTGGGTAGCCATGCGTCTTTCTTGCATCAACGTCCTGAAATTGGGAAGGGTACTTTTCCAAGTACTCGAAAAGTTTTGCAACCTGTTCTTTGGGCCACAATGCGCGTGGCATATCGACACAGAATAACCTGAGGCAAGAGTTTAGCTACCTTGAAACAGGCTGGGATGATTTGGCGTACACGTTTATATTATTGCTAACTTTTTCCGGCTTCCTTACCTAGCGGTGACTGTCATTCGATCTTGAAAAGTGAGGCGGGGAAATCAAGTCTCGTCCAATACCTCCAAAACCGGTGAGCTCGTCACACAGCAGCCTAACATTGAATGCTGCCTAGAGAGCTGCAGCCACTATCACATGTCTGACCAATCAATTGGGATCGTTCAAAAACCAAAGAATGGAATGATAGGCTGACACCAAGGCTGACGTGTCGATGCACGAAGCTGTTGATGAACCGAAAGTGATGGGACAATGGCTGGCAGGTTATATTTACCCTCCCCCCTACACCCATACTAACAAATTCTTCAACGGCGATAGTTATCCTCGTTGGTAACAGGAGATGCCGAGGAATACGCGATCGTCGTACAAGTCCAGCACTGGAGCAGGTCAACCCGGAACATCTCAAAGAGAAATCGGCCAGGATCGATCTGGCAGTCAGCGCAATGGCTCTCGTGAACCCACTTGTGACCATGAACAGATCGAAAATCTTACCCGACTTGCTCGTCATCTTCAGGTGATACCGAAGCACCGCTATACCATCGCTATCGACTACGGCACGACGTTCTCGGCTGTAGCACACACTTCCACATCTGTCACTGGTCCTCAAGATCGGAAAGCTGTCAATTTGACTTCCATCAAGCCTTCTGTCATCCAACAATACCCTGTTGGTGGCGGCACCCGCGGATGGGACGATGAGGTTCCTACACTCTCTCTCTATTTGGGTGATGGTGGGAGGGAATTCTATTGGGGAAATGGAGTTTTCAGAGTAACGAATCGTCCTGGAGTCGACGCAACAACAGTCCCGATACTCGACCTGGTCAAGCTCGACCTATCCGAGTCTGAAGAATTGAAGGAGGAAAGAGACCGCATCCAACAGAAATTGAGGAAAAGCGACGTCCCCATAACAAAGGCCATCGCCGATTTCCTTCGAGAGGTATGGAGATACACTTGCCAGACCATAGCATCAGAAGACGGAGAGTCGCACTTTCAGCAGAGCGAGAAGAGGGTTGTCCTCTCAGTCCCACCGGCTTGGAGTGCAAAAGCAGTGAGGGTGATGTTGGAAGCTGCTGCAGAGGCCGGGCTTCCGTCGCCTCAAATTGTAGCAGAACAAGAAGCTGCCGCGTTGGCAGTGTTGATCGAACGTGGCGTCGATAAAAAGCAAGATTTCCAGGTAAGAACATGGTTCCTCCGATCTGATATTCAGATACTTACTATTTCAGATCGGAAATACATTTCTAGTGGTTGATGCAGGCGGAGGAACTGTGGTACGAGACAGACTATCTCTCCTTTCCTCTCCGTCTTATCTTCAACCCCTGAATTGACAAACCCTAGGATGTTGCCGCGTATCTCTTAGAACAGAAAGACCCTTTTGGCGTCTCTGAGGTATCGAGCGCTGAAGGTAAATCCGGTCTCATGAAACCTTTCGTTCCTGCTCATTCCAAATTTAGGTCTCGCATGCGGATCCAGCCTTCTCAATCTCGCTTTTCGGGACTGGCTTGAAGAAATGCTGCGAGCTGACAAAGATAAGTATTCCGAGGCTGAATTTAAAAAACTGCTTCAGGCCGCTCCACTGGCGTTTGAGTGGACCAAAAGAGAGTTCGATGGTCTGAGTCAAGAGAACTGGTACTGCAGAATATCTGGAATCAAGGAAAGTTCAGATGGACGGTTCGCTGAAGACTTTGTCTGTATCTCAAGGTTCTCAACTTATGATCCTCCGAGGAAAAATAGTTGGCTAACTGATTCAGGGAACAAATGTGTCGCTTTTTTGACTCAATTATCGATGAAAAGATCATTCCGATGATAAGAAGTCAGATCCGAGAAATCCATGAGAATTCTGAGCAACTAGCCGAGAAGGGGCTTATCAAGGTTTGTCGAAGAAGTTGTTAGGAGAGCTTTAGAGCTAACACGCGTCAGTATATCGTTATTGTTGGAGGCTTCTGTGCCTCAAAATACCTTCAAAAAAAGATTCGGGATGCCTTCACGAAACCAAAACCAGGAGCCTTCCCAGACTATGGGATTGAAATTCTGACTCAAACACGACAGCAGTTTGTTCCTATAACTGCCATTTTGTGGAGACGTTCTAACTCATCACAACAGCCAGACCATCGTTGCTCGAGGCTCTGTCCTGAGAGCATTGAACGGGAATTTTGTGAGGCAACGGCGACTTCGTACAAGCTACGGGATCAAGCAAGATGAACTATTCGAGGCGGGAACGCATGACAAGAAACTGAGAGAACAAGATGAACACGAAGATCGTCAAATTGTCCGCGACTGCATTCTCTGGGTGTATCGATCAGTAAGTCTACCAAAGACATTGTTCATTGTGAAATGACGAATTGATACATTCGAATTGACGATGCTCAGGGCAAGCTGCTCAAACAAGACGAGCATCTCCAGGAGTTAGAATTGCATTGGACTGTTGACTTGGATTTCGACTTCAAAAATGGGAATCGTGCAGAAGAATTCACCTGCGAGATCTGGATGTCTGACGAAAAGGACCCATTGAACAATCAAACTGTGACTCAGATGGAAGCTGATAACAAACGTGAGTGACCCAAACTTGGACCGAAACACAATTTTGAAGACCACACTGAGATATCGTAGACATTGAGCCTTGTTGCCGTCTGGAAGCGGACTTGTCTAGTGCTGATGTCGAAACACTCGAAAAAGGTTACTCTAAGAGAAGGAAAAAGCATTTCTACAGGATTCCGTACTTCTTGAAGCCTTCGGTCCAAGGCGTGGAAACGACATGGGAGTTGTCTGTGCCAGCAGTAAAAGGGGCAGTGACACGGAGAGTCGTCATCAATATAGCATCAGCTTTCAAACCGGGTGAAGCGAGCTAGTGTGCGTTCAGCCAGGGCGACTTATCGTCAAAAATAGGCCGAGAAAATATTTCATCTACCTCTTGAAGATCGTTCTCGACACCAAAGGCATTGTTGCAGTAGGGAGCACCATTTTCTCTTACGAAGAATTGGAGTGTAAATCAGCTCGATGACGGACTTGATTCCTAACTAAGGAGCAAAACTAATCAAATGCACGTTAACATCGGTGAAGAACGGACTGGCGGTTGAACAATCGTATAGAGGAGATGATAGTGCTCTAGCCTGAATTCGTAGAACGTAGTGCAACGTAGAAGGCTGATAAGAACTACGCATTCATGCGCTCCTGGAAAGAGAAGGGGGAGTAAAAAGATGAGAGGACCGGTGAGTTGAGGTGATTGAGAAGTCCTGACTGGTGCGCTCACCGTGAATTTACCTCCTCTTGGCACCTATCTGGGACTGCAGCCTGCCGCTTTACATAGACATCGGCTCAGCCTGCTCAGGCCGCAGCTCACCCTCCTCATCAGCCGTACTCAGTCCCGTTCCTGAGCCCCACTGTCATTGGATGCTCACGCCCGGCTCAAATGCGGACGCATGGCCCTGAGCGAACTAGAAGCGGAACAGGATCGCTTCGTAAAGCATATTGTTACATCTAACTATGAATACACAGGTATCTTCACCCCTGAATTCCACCGACTCAAAGTCACAAGCGTCACAGAGGAACGACCTTCCACGGATCCGCCACGAATTCCAAGGCTGTCTCTCTGAGATGCCAAGGGTTAACATACACCTGCAACCCAATCCTGCTGGAGAACAGGTTGAACACTCTCATGATCAGGTACAGATCTCGCGGGGCCGTCGTCGAGTCATGGGGACAGGCTTTGTCTCGCATGAGCCTGTACTGATTGCTGCTCATGAAGAACGGAGTGTTGCAGGGCCCGGACGTGGTCTTGACTTCGATGTGATAATTCACCACCGGTGTTGACATTGACGTCGCGCCGGACTCGAGCCCAAGCCAGGCGGGATAGGGCAATGTCGTGTTTTCTCGAAGCAACTCCATCAGCCGCGGACAGTTGCCTTCGTACATGATATCCGAGATTTCACGGCCCTGCCACGACGGTTCATCGGCGTATTCGGGGAGGATGTTCACGTAGTGACGAATCGAGCTCTGCCACTGGTCGATGCCGAAATTTGTGACCCCGCAGGCTTTGAGGAACTCGAATACCTAATATTCAGTCCAAGTCAGCTACCGTTCATGTGCAAGGATACCTCCCAAGACTTACGTATAGTTCTCCCGCCGCGCCCACGCGGGCATTTTCTTCAAATCTACCGTTCCCCGTATCGCCAAACGTTAGTTTGAACGCTGCGTAATCCGCTGGTGGGTGGGCAAGTTCATCTAGAGCTTCGTCGATTCCATCCAACGATAGCGATCCTCCTCTCCTTTGAGGCGATCGCGCGCCTCGCCTGGCTTGGCGGATCACTTCTCGCAACAGTCTCTTGTACTGTTGATCCCGTGCCACCTCCTCCCAGATTGTATGGTGAGAACCAGTTGACCGAACGTGGACTGGAGAAGGAATGCTGCTCTCAGCTCGGGCATATGGTGCTGTGCTCTGTTGATCGACCCGGGTCACGACCACGTCGTGGTCGTGGTCGTGGTCGTGGTCAGAGGATGCGTCCGTTGGCGATGCAGGCGTCGGCATACTGCTGCTGTTAGGTTCGGCATCACCCAGAGCTGGAAATGACCCTGTCTGTCGCGATGGCACCGGTTTTGCGAACCAGGGATACTCCGGCAGGTCCTCATCCTTCATGATGGTATCCAAATCTTTCTTGTTATCATTCAAGATACGATAGACGACCTTGACTGCCCGTTCATTGTCGATGGAAAGTGCGTTGGCAAGTGCTTGAGGAAGCTCTGTGTGGAAGCAAGAATAAAGGCTATCGTAGTCGCTTGGGACGTAGATCGTCAACTTCCCATCAAGGAAGCAGATATCGACCACGGCTCGATCACTCTGAACCGTGACTGAGTCATACTCCTCCGGTAGCATGAGCTCTGTCCACATCTCTTCGCAGACGAATACGTCGGCAGCCAACAGTAACTCGTGCATCGTCGTTTTCCGGTTGTAATATTCCGAGCTATTGTAGTAGGTGGCACAGCTGATGAACAGTCAGGGAACTTTTTCTTCACGACAAGGCATTGAAACTCACCATGACAAGGCGTATGCCCGGTCTCTGATATAGTGTTGGAGAGCTTGATGGGCAGTTGCCTTGTCCACAGTTGTTTTTGACTCCACGAGGGCCGAGAGAAAGCGATTCTGCAGGCCCAGCAATTCGAACAGCGGATACAACGAAGTCATCTCTTCGTGACCAAAGTCAAGGATCTTTGTTTGGTTTTCGAAGAGCTGGCCATATCTCGGGTGGTCTTTGATGGTGAATGCTTGATCCACGGAAAATAGTTTCAACCCGTTGGCACCACGGACAGGTAGAAAGGCCGTTTTCTCCAAAGCTCTCAGTTGCTCCTCGTTGACCTGTACCTCACGATCTGAGGCTAACAATTCGCCAATGGTAAGTATGATACGCTTGACCTCGTCAACGTCGGGGGAAGTCTTCTTCGCCGTTCTTCCAAGCTCCTGTAAAAGAACGTTGATGTTCATCGTCCTGACTTTCATCTTGTCGACGAAGAATTTTTTAAGCTGGGGGTATACATGGTCCAGTGGCAGACGCCCGGAGATGGCGACAGTACAGTTCCACAAGCACTCTGAGGGTTTCAGCCACTTTTGACCAACATAAATCAGACCGTGACCATTGAGCTCTTGCCTAGGACTGCTGTCAGAGAAATCGGTTTCTTTTGGAGGGACGACCGTACCGAATGGCCTCGATCACGGGCTCAGAGTTTGCCATTGCATCTAGAGCTGCATAGACTTTTGGCGCCTTGCTCTCGATTAGAGGTGATCCAGCTGTTGCTTTCGTTGACAACATCTTGAGTTCGTCGATCAAGTCGTTATAGCTAACATTCCGCATATTCAAAATGGTTTTGAAGAAACTGGAAGCAGATTGATTAGCTCCGTACAACGGACTCAACACCTGCTTCGCCTGGAGAAAGCTTGGACCCTCCCAAATACAATCAGTTGATCTGTACCAGGCTTCCTCGGTTGTCTTCGAGCGGATCATCGGTCGCGTCGCAAATTCTTGCTGCTCCGAGTCAGTAGATGTCTCGGCATGCATGGAATTGACATACCTGTACAGCTTTGGCGTCTCCGACCGCCGTTGTTTGAGCAATACCGCTGTAGATCTTCTCACACGTCGGTAGTAAGTGGTCCTCTCCAAGATCAGCTAATAGGTACATAGCTCTCAAGTAAAAGCTAGCATTGACTTCACAGATCACTCCAAACTCTTTCAAAAAGTACCAAGCCTCGGATTGTTGGGTATCATAATCTCGAGGTAGTTTCAGGAATGGTAAGAGATTGGTCAGGTTGGGGTCTCGGCGCATATCCATCAATTCATGCGTTGGTAGAATAGTGTCGCAAAGCCTTTGTGTGGAGTCATTCAGACATGGTACCCGAACATTCTTCAGGTCGTTCTTGATTCTGGATGCATCAACACGGTAATCCGACCAATGTGCTTTGAGATTGGCGACAAAGCTGTCGGGATTATCTCGAGCAATCAGCTCCATCAGGGAATGGAGCTTCCATCCAGCGGACACTTCGTGTACCAGATCAGGGAAGTCTTTAACCCCCCATCTCTGAAGGTAGGATCTCCAGTCTAAACCATGGCGGATATGATTGGCAACTTGGGAATTCAGGTATTCTTTATCGAGAATCCCGTAACCACATTTGTGCAAATCCTCCTTCGGAGTTGCAGCAAGTAGTTTCTCTGCGTGATAGTTATCTTCCGAAGGAAAGAATAAGAAAGGTCCTTGAAGTAGTTTGTTTTCATCGCTCACAAGTAACAGACGCTTCTGACTCTGCGTCAACAGAGACGGTCGCTTTCCGAACCAAAAGAGGATTTCGAGATCCGTTTTGAACGTGAACATCGTTCCGGTTCTCTTGCATGACTGGTGCATCTCAAGGATGCTCGCTGTGACAGCATCAGGAGGGCATGAGGTAATTCCGAGACTCGTGTAGAAGCTCGCACGCTCTCCATCTGCAGCCGCCGTCTCGTGAAGTTTGTTAAACCCAAGACCATCAGGTACCTTTATCGACACCGAGTCTTCGTCGACAAGATATGGTAGATATACAGCATCCACACGCAAGGACAAGGTTGAAACCCAGCGATTGTCGTCCAAGGGGATGATTCTTAACCGCTCGACATCCTTCTTGATGGATTTTCTCCTAAGGAGCCGTTGTATGAGAGCAGCGAAGGCCGTGTGCCATGGGTCATCTAGTGGTATGTGGTGTATTGGGCGTTCCGCGCTCTGTGAAAGACCAAGTTGTATTCTCTCCAGAATTTGTGTAACCGAGATTTGCCTCACCCCAAGGTCTTCCAGAATTCTTACATCGCTTGATTCATAATGGTCCGATAAGTAGATGTCTTCGTCCGTGTCCGCCACGATTGGCTCGTTCTCGTGGATGAACCAGTCTGGAAGAGTTGTCATGTGCTCGATGCTGTGAAGTTCATCCCGCCGTGACCGTAAAATCGGTGAGGCTCTGTACGAGAGCTCGGCCTGAATGTCAGCCCATAACCATTCCCAAAAGCCTTGCATGGGTTTTTGGGGGAGATAGCGCATCCATGTAAACT